TACAACCCCCTATGCTGAGCATCTGAGGTCCTCATAGCCTACAATAAGTCTTTAACACGAACTTCCATGTTGCGGTAGCTTCAGCTTATCGCTCAGTGTCAAGGATAGTTTAGTCGAAACTATTGTCTATAACCCCAAGGAGAGGAAGGAGAATAATGATGCGGAGCATAATACGGAAACTGCGATAATTCCATAGACTTCCTAGTTTCACAACGGGACATTATACGTTGTACAGCAAAATTTCACTGCTTGCACTATCTAGAAAGTTGCATTCATTACCTAGTTAAAGCTATGCTAAAAACTCATATGTAGCATTTTTATTGATCCAGAATGCTGGATCTCATGATTCGAGCCGGACTTGAAGTTGCAGTTGAACGTGAAGCCTAGATAGTATAGCATTACTCCATGCATCTATTGATCCTAAAGCATCCAAATCTTAATATCAAAGGGCCATCAGAGAAGATACTAGACTCCGGGCTTCAAATATTTTTCGAATTCGTTCGGTCCATCGTAAATCTGCAGATCTTCGAAGCGAAGTAGCTTGACATGCCAAGATTTGTAAACATAACATGAGATATGGACATCTAAGCTCACATGGAATTCGTTATTGTATGCTGAACGTAGATAAATTTCACAAGAAGAGAACTCCTGCCTAAAATAACAAACATCCAATCGTCCCGTCCAGACACATGAAATCAGCATGCAAACTTGCAAAGAGGTCGAAAAGATATCTCCTCCAAAATTTGCAAGATCAAGACCAAACCAAAGTATCGTCATTAATCAACCCATTCCCCGGGTACAGATATGTTTGCAAGAGCAGCTTGAAGTGGATTCTCAATGAGTTTCCAAAAATCCCCCGCATATTCATCCCTCCATTCGATTGCCCATAAATCCCAATCCTCAATACGAGGCCCATACTTGAATCCTAAGACGTTTTCCAGCAGCCAATCCTCATCCAAGTCTTGGGCCATTCTTTTCTTTTTATAAATTGCAGATTCTACTTCGCCGTATGTGTTGAGATCGACACCTAAATTGACCAAAAATCCAAGCCACATCTCGAAGCCCCAAATTTCTCCTTCTTGGACGTCAACTCTTCTATAGCAAAGCCGAACCTTCCTTTGCAGCACCGTTTCGTGATTTTCGTCCAAGGTATGGATTGACATACCGGCCGACATCATTATTTTGATAAGGTCCACCATCCCTTCATCTTTAAAATTATCTTGCGAATATTCTCTGCAGGCTCTTATAAAGAATTCTTTCACGGCAATGTTATCACGATGCAGTGCAACGTTTGCCTGGAAATTAGGATCTTCAAGATATGATAAAATCACATTTTGAGATTGTACACCATACTCGACAAGAAAACGTGAAGCAATATACACTTTATCAATGAAACTTATCTCGCCAGAACTCATCAATGTGCGCTGTTGAAGATAGTGAAACATTTCTGTAGGACAACCGGTACTGCTAGCTAGTATGTCCATCTGATCAATAAGCTCCGAATCTGCCCCTGCTTCGATGAGGGTTCGTAAAATAACAAGTGCGTGAGTATGATCTAATGCTTGAAAGCGATGTCTATGATCCCAGGAGACATTGAAAATAAACACTCCTAAAGGTGTTTTGCTAACGATAATTAGCCATGTAGACCAATTTGAAATAAAATACGCAAGACTGATTAGCATACCCACGAGCTGCGTCGCTTGAGATATCCGCCCCGTTCTCCAGGAGAAGCTTACATAAATCAAGATGATTATTTGAGGCAGCTATCTAAATTAAGATTAGTTGTCGATAATTGAATAAGTCCGTATTGAATCCGTGCAAAGCTTACGTGTAGGGGCGTACCCTCATCCCAAAAACTTACACGCCGGGGGCCTCCCACAAACCGATCGTTCACAAAAGCCGTTCGATTGGCCAACATCTCCTGTACACCAAAAACATCCCCCTCTCTCAGGATCTTAAAGAAATCCGATTCGACGTCCAAAGTACGATAAGTCTGAATGTTAAAGTTCCATCTTAAAGTTGATAGATCTCTGGTGTACATACATTGCCACGCTCTATTTGACAGCCATGCTGGAGGTTTGTATTTCGCCTCAGTTTCTTCAAACCGATTTCTATTCCGTTGTTGTTGTGTCTTTCGAACATCAACGGAGCCCATCAAATAGACAGACCACCTTGACGAGTAAACTTGACTAGAAATCTGTGCGGAGGTACAATCTTTGGGTACAAAACGTGGGGTTGAATTGCTGTGACATTCGGAGTTCTGTGGCTGTGAAGTTGTTGTAATGTCTCTATTTATCGAGGACATTTGGGTGGCTGGACTCGGCAATGGTGGTACTGGAATAAGCTTCTGATGGTTTATCAAAAACTGATCGAGAGAAGCCTGTATTTTTAACTCGAAGACTGGAAATTGTTGTTGAAGAGTGGCACTGCTACCTGTGAGTAACCTGCGGTCTCGCAAAAAAACACTGGCAGAACTCACTTTGTCTGCCATGTGATCGCGAGATTCATCACTTTTGAAGCATTTTTCATTCTCTTCTTTAATCTCTTAAGTTGATCCTTTTTCAGTACCACCTTCGTGGCACCTAGTTTGCTTCTCCATTTATTGCCTGAGTTCATCTCCTTCCCAAGAGCCTTTACAAGCTCGTTTAATTCATTTGAGGAATCCTCGCACAACTTTAGACTATGCTCAAGGAACATGTCCGAAGCCCTGCCAGAAGAAGTTATTCTGGCTTGGCTCTCAAGAATGCTTCGAAGTATCAAATGATGGGAATCAATCTCTCGCGCCAAAAAGCTAATATCATCCGGCGCATCTTGAATTTCATCCCAATAACCCTTCAGCTTGATAATACTAGAAGCAAGACTGCCCGCCAGCTGAGCAACACCGATGCCACTAGCAACTGTGCCAAGAACCTCTGCCATGTTTTTATCTAGTATGAGTTTGTCAATTGTTGAGAGAAAGATAAGTTGGATAGAATTGTGAAGTTATCTGGTTTTTGAAGTGCTCGAGAAGATACAGCCTTAAACCGGCTGTGCTGACTCCAGCTCATGTACGCATATCATCCAATCAACCCTGGTGTTCTCCACTCTCCAGAAACTACTTGTTGATCCAATAACATTGAAGTGAGATTTGGAATAAGAACATTCTTGATATAGCAAAAGTAGTTATCTTGTATTAATAACCCAAAGGCTATAAGAATGGAGAGGAAGCATTTGATGGGACGAAAAATATATACAAAAAGATCAAAAAGAATAAAAAGTGATGGAACCCCTCCTTACCGAATACCTTCTACTACCAGCATGCTTGACACGACCTATAGGACAGGAGAAGAGATATAAAATAATTGCAGTTTCCTATTTCATATTTTTCAGATCCAATTTAGCGACAGCGCAATCGTGTAAGTATTAGGTAAAGGTGTATCTTCGATCAATGACAAGTTTTTCCAATTACCTTTCTGTGAAGTCCGTGAAGTCACTCACCTACCTAGGTACCATTATATCATAAACATCATGTATTCATACCACTTTTCCATCGTGTTGAAACATCTCGATATACCCTCCGAATTCCACTTCGAAGTTTGTCTTATTCGATGGGAACAACTTCAAAATATAGGACGATGAGAATTATGTGTAGTGGAGAAGATCTACTTTTGAGGGGAATGATCTATTTTGAGAAAGAATGATCTTTAACTGAGCCACAACCTAATTTCACATTAACAATCCTCTACGAGTACCTAGTTCAAACCAACCTAAAAACAATTTTATAGAGTGTTTACATCTATCAATCGCGTGGAAAATGGATTCAGAGGGACTATCGATCAACCACTTTACATCATATATAATCCAGAAGAAAATACATCACACATTTCCAAGTTCCCTAGCACTCATCGATTCACACAATTCATACCCACACACCAACTCATTCTCATTACTCCCCAAGCCAAGAACCCAAAAGTATCACGAGCACCCACCCCACCACACTACCAAGCCAAGACCCCCGGCTCCGCAAACCCACCACAAGATCACCACAACCACAACCACAACCACAACCACAACCACACTCATCCCGCTAGTTACTACCCGCTATCCACCCGGCCCGGCTTCTACCCGCTCCTAGTATATTCTACTTCAGTAGTTGCGAAGCTTAAATGAATGAAACAATCACACCCATAACCACGACCACGCGGAGATATAGTTGGTGAGCTAGTGAGTTGGTATACTTATGCAGCGGATTTATCTCTTCGTCATCGTGCATCTCTCTATCATCTCTCATCTATGATATAGGTACTTATTTGTAGATTAGAGATATATACGCTGTCTAACCACCAGTCTACCAACCACATACAGAAACCACATACAGAAACCACATTCTCCTAACCCACTTGATCCTTTTAGACGAATAGGGGATCGACATATCTAGTACTCAAGTCTCTAGATATGCGAAGAATGCAGCTAGATGGATAGATAGATGGACGGTGGTGTGATGGATGAGATTCGAGAATCTTTAGATGGTATTTCGTAATATGGGATGGATGTTCTGGGTATATACTCGGATTTGATATACGTGAGATTGCATAGAGATTTGAGATTTGAGATTTGAGATTCGAGATTCTAATAAATATACAACATATTTAGACTAATATAATGATAAATATCAAGTGCTTTACTTTACTATTCATACCATATCGTACTATACCATCTCCCCTCTACCCAACTCACCAAGCCCGCCCTTAAAAGATACAAACACACAAACCCCCGCAAAACCCATTCCAGAACAACTCAAATACCCATCCACCCATCCACCCATCCAACCCACAACAAAATCACCCTCCCAAAAAATCTATTATCACTACCTCATAACCCCTACACTAACGAGATAAATCCAGAAAAATAGTATAATTCGAAAGGACCCTCTTCACTTCCCTAAATTTATAAGTTTATTATCATAAATAGACTGATGGACCTCATCTGAGACTCATCTCACTCTTCCCGATTTCTGCACATCTAGATGTAATCTTATTATATTATATTATATTACGAGTAGCGAATATGAAATATCATTCATTAACAACTTATACCCAGTGCGCTGGAGATAATGCTGTATGCAGCTTATCAAATAACAACAAGACGGCGACTGTGAAAAAAAAATCAAAGAATCGAGGTACGAACAGTAATAATAATATTCTCATACATCCCAGGTATATTTTTCTGTACTCTCTACACACCAACAATATGCTACGCCCCAAGAAAATGCAATCTCAACCACGAACACCGAATCCAAACCCTAACCCTTACAACAATATAAAATCGCAAATCTCAAATCCCAAATCCCGATTCCCAATTCCCAATTCCCATACATACATAGGTATCCAACTCCCCCTAAAACACCCCATCACAAATACCAATATCCCACATCCGGGGCATCCCATTTCGCTTCGAGATTGCACGAATTATCCGTCTTATAACAAACCTTCTGCATCGCACAATTCGGACATTTGACTTTCCATTTCCAGGCGTCCGAATCATACATCGCGTGTATATCGTTGAGATGTGTAAACGTGTGGCCTTTGGGACATGAATTTTTATTTTGCGTTTGTATCTTGCCTGGAGAGGCTACTGCAGTAGGTTGTGAAGTAATAGTTGTTAAAAGATCATAAGCGATTGCTGGATTATTTTTGCATAGGCTTGAAAACTCTCCTCTGTCGTTTAGCTCTCTTAAATGCTTTCCTGCAGTTGCGAGTGCGACGGATGTCAGAGAGGTGTCGCTTTCTGGGAGTTCCTCGTATATAAGTTCCAGACTAGCTGAGAAAGAAGGCGTGTTCCAATCAGTCTCTATTGCTGCTTCGTACTTTTTCTTTGCGAGAGTTTTAAGAGCTTGAATATCGTATTTGTCGCCGATAATGTAGACCATAGTATTGATTAACAAACGTCCATAACCCTCCTCTTCAGCTTCTTCACTCGGCTCAGAAGTATCGTCATAGTCTTGAAGGTACAAGAAGTTGATCATTCTCGCGACAGTTTCAGGATCATCATCCTCTAAATCGAGAACGCCAGTAACAGACTCCTGTATCAGTCTCAGTAATAATTCGGGGACATATACATTCCACAACGCTTAGTTGAGGTTTCAAATGGACTGAAGAGACAGGACTAACCATGAATCCTCCATTTGCTGCAGCTTGTATTGGTTTTGATTGTGTGCAAACGACGATTCGATGGACAGGGAATATTCGGGAGTGACATTTAATAACGAAATCACTATATTCGTTTGCACCCATCATTCTAATTCTAGATCAGCAAAAACATCGTGCAACAACAGAATTCCAATCGCACTTAGCCCACAGGACTTTAGTCGTATCGACTGATTCATTATCACAGAATCTTATGGGAGACATCTGCGTGACAGGGATGAGAGCTAATATTTGATTTTTTTTTTCCTTTTCCGATATATGAAATGGCTATTCCAACAAACATTTGATACAGATGGGCGTATTTGAGAAGAGAGAGCCATGGAAGTAAATAGTTGTTTGTTATAGGAAATATAAGGTGATTATGAATAGCTTGTAGATCATTGAATGCAAGACAGGGGCAGTGCTCCCCATGGAGAAGTACAATAGCGTCATGCGCCCTAAATCCACTGCTCCAATGATTGTTCCCCATTCCGTAATGAAAATCAAATAAGTAACACAAATTTAGTCAACATTTGTCTCCTTGAGCTTGGTATTTATAAAAGAAATTCGCGAATGTAGCAGGCTATATTGTAAAACGAGATATTTGCATTCTTAACCAATCAATAAACTCCAGTTGCCCTACCTATGATATATAAACCTAACGCATAATACCTAGTTATCCATCAGTGGGTGCACGGACTTTTGAGAGCTGCCCCCAAAGTAATAACAAATCATGATTTATCCAAATCCCATCCGACTCCCGTAAAAAACAAACATACAGTCTGATTGCTTGATCTGTAACGGGTATTTTTTGCAGCTCCTAGGATCCCTGAGATAGTAGTTTACAACTATCATCGAATTAAAGTTTCTCGTAATCTCACGAGTCCATGAACCCACTCCACTGCTGATCCAATCATTCAATTCCAAAACCATCTAGACTTTGTATTCTTTTTGGCTCGCGACTTAATTTCCTGATCATCAGTCTCCACTCTCTGCTGAGATTGAGAACCCTCAAAGTCAAAATCAGACCTATTGATATCGGATTGCCGGGTCCCTGCTTTATCAACTGTATGACTAGACGTTGTTTCTGTTTCACTCCCGTCGTCAAATCTCTTCCATACACGGATCGTCGTTTCTACACTTCCATCTTCATTGGTAAAATGCTCAACGGTTGAGCTTGAAGACACTTCTCGTTTTGATCCGTTTGGCTCCGAGAGTGATTTGCCACTCATGCTGTTGGCTTCTTGCAAACCCGAGGAACTTGACCGACGAGATTCTTCGAAAGGTACACTTTTACCCTTCATCATTTTTTCTACTGCTGTAAGGGTGGACTCAAGCGTGGTGAAAAATTGATCAGGCGTAGTACATGCATCTCGAAGAAAACTCTCATACATTTGTTCCTCGGTCTCGGCATTATTCTTGAACCCTTTATTCTGAGAGACAAATGAAGCTGCACCTCGACTGCTAGTGTCACGTTCTTCAGATGAGGGAGACTCTTTTGAAACATTGGTCAACTCTGGGCTAGGCAGATTAAGGATGCCTAGACTTTGAAGTCGCTCAATCCAATCCAATCCATTCTCCACTGTCGAAGTGATACTTTCGGGTCTTTCGGTGGTTGATCTCTCAATGCGGTCGACTGGAACCTCTGTATCGCGACTCTTCCCCTGGCTGATAAGAAGAAGGTCTTCAAATGCTTCGCAATAAGGAAAGTTGTCTCGGGGAGTGGCTCCACGAGGCCTATCATATGTTCTTGTACCTCTGATTTGCGCGTCGTAGAACTGGTGATGCGCAAAGATAGATTGATTGAAAGATAAAAACAGCGGCGAATACGGCGATCCAAAAAGATAGGGCACTAGTGAGTGATCATCAGGATTGGCTTTGTATAACATCATCGCAGCAAAAGAACTCATGGTATGCCTAAGGTTGCCAGAGAAAGGGTTGGCTAAGGGAGACTGCAAAGGTGAATATAGCGGAATATCGGCAGTTCCGAAAACATTTAACCACTGGTCATGTAAGAAGTGAACAAAATCTACGTCGCCGTGTGTAGTTTGTGACTTCTTTACAGGTATTTGGACTTCTTCGCCCTCCGACATTGTTGTATTCTCACTTGTTGCTTCTTCAGCTTCCTTCAATTCCCTTCGCCTCGCTTGTAGTGCGATTCCTCTTTTCATATCCTCATCGAATGCGGACCATTGTGAAACATTCTGTGGCTTTGAAAATGCCGATGGCAGACCAATGAATCCTTGTAGAACTGCACCTATTTGTTCATCGGCGAAGTGTCTGAAACGAATGAACGGGTTATTGGAATCCGATTGATTGTCTTTGGAGGGTTTGTCAATATCGCCTGGGTTTGATGATTTTGACATTGTGCTTTTGACGACGGTGATATTATTGATGTAAGTGATGTCGCGCAACAGCTATTGAAAGATGTATTGATGATATCGTCGATTTTAGAGTTGTTGAGAGTTGATGGCTTGTTGATAAGATAGTAGTGGGGAGATAATGTACTGATTGTGAAGATATCATGGCACCTGCAATTTGTTGACCATTTTTGCGGGGTCTAGGAATTATTAATAAATTTAGCGCCTGAGAGAAGAAGGCACGGCTCGTGTGTAGGCACGTGTACAGACACGCTCGAGGCACGCTCGCACGTACGTAGAGGCATGATTTTTTCCGAATGGTTCATCCTTAGCTGGCCGTGGACCAAGGTATTCAACCAATGAATTCTTTTCATTTCTTTATTTTAGACTTCACTCTGTACAGGCAATCATAGCATTCACTGCCAACTAGGTACCGTACCAGTAGATTTTATTTCATTCTTCACTCACAGAGCGATATCATTCTATACCTCGGCTTGCCACTTCTTACTCTATGTAAATTAATATCAACCAATCATTTCATCCTATTATCTCTTCTTATTCTATATAAATTAACATCAACCAATCATTTCATCCTATTATCTCTTCTTTTCCTCTCCTGTCCTCTTCCAACCTTCACCGCAAACCAGCACCTCCAACCACAACCACTCAACTACCACAACCACTCCCTGCTACTACACAACTTGCCTTCCTGCGTACAATCCTACACTTATCTAATAACCATCGACCAATAAATGCATTCGCCCTTCCTTCTCTATCAATTCCTTCACCGCACATAAGCCACTTTGAGCTCCAAACCCCTTGGGGACGCAGTTTGACTGGTTCTGATAAAAAAGAACCATAGGGAGCTCGCCACGAAAACTCCATAAAGTCGAGAAAAGTATTGACAACACAACATTTCAATCTCTGTTATCACCATACGAGTAAAAAAGCCCATGTAATGCAGCAATTGCTTCTTTCTACTTACCTCTCCCAAGACTGGTAATACTTGCGATTTGAAATTAAGAACAACAATGTCTTGTCTTTTCCTTTTCCAATCCTGAGTGAGAGATTGAGATTGAGATAGAAAAGTATCCACCCACCACCCATACACAAACCATGACAACCACTGGAACACCGTTAATTGTGCGAGATGCATCAACCCCTCACATGCGACCTCACACCACTTCAAAATCCTCCTCAAATCCCCACAACTCAAACTCAAACTCGAGCTTCAACCAAAATGTTCCTCTAAATTCGAATTCGAATTCGAATCCCGATAAAAATAACAATAGACGTCATTCGCTCCCACTTCATTTCCTTCCACCAAGTTTATGGACATCTAATACTTCAACTGCCAGTCTTGTGGAATCCGAAGAAGCTGCCCGTGGGGAACATATCCTAGACGAGGCTAAGGTTGCAAATCGTCTTGCAGCTCTTCGTTCTCTCAACGGCGCGAATCGAGCCGATCATCGTTATGCGAAATCCACTGGAGAAACCTTTAATCAGCCGGTGATTGTGCGGACCTACTCAGGAGCCATTCGACCTCGCTCTCAACAACGAGATCCTATTGCAGCCAAGAAACAGAATGGAACAGCGGGCATAGCAGCAAATAAAATGGATATGAAACTTCCGCCAGTGGAGGCTTTCAGCTTCAAGGGGATTATGGATGAAATAAAACATGGTGTTAATGATGATTTAGAGAGGATCGCGGAGATATGTGCAAGGAGCAAGTATAGTTTGGCAAATCAGCATGAATTCCATCACCCCCCTCATGGATCTGGAGATCGCATACCACAAATTGGTATTGTCTCCGCGACAGATCTAGGTGTACCGACATTACAGGCCGTTGAACCGGATGAAGTTTCTCCAAGACAATTAGCCAGAAGCTCAAGAGGAAGTCGAAGGGGGAAATCTGCCGCTTACGGTACACTAGAGACCATCATATCATCATCAAGATCTTCTGATGAGGACAAATCCAGAAAAAAGCCTGCCGCTGTTTTGGAAGATGAGGTTCGTGGAAGAGCAACAAGTAAGGAGATTGAAGTATCACCTCCAAATCCCGATGTGGTAATAGACGCTGCAGTCCCAGAAGCTGTCCCTGAAAGGAGCCCTCCTTCCAAGCACGCCAGGCCAAGATCTTCCACATTCGCATCCATGATTATAGACAATGCCCAAAGCTTCAGACAAGAACACAAACCCCAAGTTTCATCTCCCACCTTCCTTCTAAGCGAACCCGCTCGACCTCAAACCTCTGGTGCGGACCTTGAACATATGCCTGCCCTTGATGAACTTACTCCTGATCGGCCTTCCACTTTCCATGAGTTGACATTACCAAAGCCTACTCTAATACGCAATGAGTCGATAGCTTCCACTCTGAGGCCTGAGACCTCGCCGAGATCGTCTATACTTGGTAGTTTGAGTTCATGGCTACCTTGGAGTAAACCACCTAGTCCAGTGCGAACTTTTCAAGGCAGGGCGAGAAGTGGATCGCATGCAGAAGGAAGTTTGAGAAACTTGTTAAGGTCTACAGAAATCGCTAGAAGGGGCAAAAATGTTGATAGCATTCCTTGAATGTGACCATGCCATATTGAAAGGATCCTAGCGATTTCTTGGTCTTTCAGTGCGGTGTATAATTAGCCAAAGAAAAGGGAATAGACCAAGGACGTAGGAAAATTCTAGCCTATCTATATGCGTCGAATGTACTCAGAGCTTCGTGTATAATCTACTGGCACTGGTATAATATGTCTTAATATCCCTATGAATTTCGGTTTAGGGCTGTCTTCGTGTCGCAATACATGCCAAGAAAATTCCGATCGCCAGCTACGAACCAGATTCATCTATTCAATTTGGACAATGGTCAATAACGTGGACCAGCTGGGGGAATTGCAGGTAAAGTTGATTGACAAATATCGTATGTTACATAACCGGATCAAATTGACATACCCTGCACGATTCTTAAGGAAGGGGACAAGTACTCAGATCTTATCATAAGATTCCAAGGAGAAGCATTTCCCGGACACAGAAACGACATTTGCGTACAGTCTGAATTCTTCACTGCTATGGTGGATCGCGATTGGAAAGTAGGCTATCACTTCTCTACCTTGAAATGCAGCTCATAGAGTACACACTGCTTGTGGCTAGGATGGTACCACCTGTGAGATACTGCTCGACTTCGATGAGGCTGATCTCTAAATTTTTGAAACTATGGTCCGATTTTTCTATCACCGCTCTCTTGGTAATGAACATGGCCTCGTCACTCTTACTAGACTTTACATCATGGGGGGGGGGGGGGGATGGGGCATTCCGTTCCTGAAGAAGAGCGCTGCCTCCAAGATTGAAAATTTTCTAGACGCATATTCAAGGCGGGCCTCTTTACCTTCGGATGCAGTCTTTGAAATGCTGAGACTCGCTCATTCATGTCTTCCGCAGTGGGATATGGATCTCAAACCGATCATCTTGTATCACGTTCTCAAGCATGAAAGCTTGGAGCCCTTGATGAACGAATATGACTTCGAAGCTTTCCTTGTAGGTGATGGAAGAATGCGATGGACCTCTTGCAAGCCCATTTGAATGCTCTCAGCACGGCTCTCGAAATTGAGCAAAGGTACAAAGATCAATAAATAAGCTCAAGAGCCAACGCGTCCTTGGATTCACATGTACGAATTACCATATTATACTCTAACTAATACAATCCTTCAACACTATATGCTCTTGGTGTTGTTATACCTGCGCACAGTAACTTCTACCTCACTATATTCTGTACGTTGATTGCCCTTATTCACGAAGTACATGTGAAGCTATAATTTGCATGTACAATCACAGTTTCCCATTCTCGTTCGTTCTTATACATGCGAATAACTATCTCGATGTATGGATTTCCATATCACATTCAAATTAACGAAAGCGCCTATTTACTGCAAAGCCAAAACATATTCACACCCTTTGACCTTCTTTACAAGTATCTCTTATTAACTCTCTTCGATAAGCTTCTCTATAAAAGGGCACTCTCCATCTCAAATCTTGACCATTACAAAGTACTCAAAACGTGAGATAAATTACATCTACACTTATCACACTATCAGAAATGGCATCAAAAACACCGCGAGCCCTGGAAGACATGTAAGTCCTCCTTCAGAAATACCCCTAATTCAACCGAGTCAAATCATTGCGAGATATATCTTTAAGAGAAATAAGAAAGAGTTTCCTAACTAATTCTCAGGGCATATAAACCAAGTGATAAACGTGGTCCTCCAGATTTCACTATTAAATGTAAAGGCCATTCATTTCTCGTCCACAGGGACATCGTTGCTCCGCAGTCTAAACCATTGGGTGCTGCGATGGACACTGAGAAATTCTTGGTAAGCTTCACTCCGCTAGTTCCAGTCTTCAACTACCATTACTATGGTATTTAATTGATGTAATTTCACCTCAACTTTGCTGACCTATCTTGGAATATAGGAAGGAACAGAAAGAGAAATGATACTGAGCGACGAAAACGATGACCCAGAAATCGTGGGATTAATGGTCGAATTTCTTTACACCGGAGAGTATACAATTTCTTTTCCCTCTAATACTTCCTCCTCGGCACGCTACTCATCAGACGAAGCGATTAGATGTAACCGCCACGTAGCATTGCACATCTTCTCTGATCTCTGGGACATTCCCTCTTTACAAGTCCTCACTCTCTCGAATCTCAAAACTATCCTTTCACATCTTACTTTATCATATTTCACATCGGTGTTGCGATATATTTATGAAGAAACCCCGGGATCGTATACACGCGTTAGACAGATAGCTGTAAAGGCTTTGATGGAAAGATTTACAGTTGGGGAAATCATGAAGGTTAAGGAGTTGAGAGAGCTGTTGAGTGCGGATGGAGAGTGTGCTGTGGATTTGTTGGTTTGGGGGGAGGAGAGGAGAGTCCAGAGGGAGAGGAGAGTTGGGAGAGATTGGGAACAGAGTGCGGTTAGGGGAAGAAGAGTGTGTGAGGAGAGTATGGGGAGAAAGGGGGACATTTTTGGGGATCGGACAGGATGGGCTGATCATACTGGTGCGAGGTTTTGAGAGGGATTTGTGAATGGTGGTTCGTCGGATGATTGATAGGGAGGGGAGTGAGGGGTTGTTTTGGATGAGTCTAGATTGGAGGGGGCGAGATGTAAACGATGACGAATAACGATGATGTTGAGCAACTATAAACCATATGAGATCTTGCCCGACAAATGTGAGCCCAAAAAATCAAGAATTGAGAAAAGTATGTTTTTCAACCCAATATTTGATAGCCCCTCGTAGCAAATGCAGTCGCCATCCTTCAATTGCCACTTCCTCTGACATCAGTAATCTCAAGAGCCTCATCCCACCCCCAAACCGGCCACATACATACTCACAACCGGCCCGCATGACTCATGTGCATGATCTCATCCGCAGCCGCCGAAAAATCTCCACTCTCACACCCAAGGCAGAATCCTTCTCCCCACATCTCACTCCTCACAGCATTCTTCACAGCATCTTCTCCGGTTTCTCGCATTGCTCAATCCTCTGCACCCAGATAGGTTATATCCCACGATTCGCCATTTCCGCGCAGAAATTCATATGCAGCTGCAGCGAAAAAGCTGCGAGAGGAAGGACGAAAATGAGGCTCAGATGGTTTACCGGTCACCCACTATACGTCTGAAGCAAGCAAGTGGAGCGCTTGTGGAATCCTTGTTCTGCTATCCCCGCGCCGCTTCACCGAGTTTGCTGTGTTAACCTTATTATTAAGTAACTTCACGCTTGTCTTGTCGCTTGCATTCGATTATCATCTGAGGGCCGCAGGCCTCTTGTACGGTATGAGGGTATCAATCTTATCGGGATTCTTATCGCTGCATTGATCCTGTGAAAGGAGCTAGGTACCTAGGTGGGTAGCGTAGCTCATTAATAAATGCTTGGAAATCCGGAGTAAGTAGACAAACAGACGAATAAACGAATCGACAAAAATGGGCCCATTAGGCAAAACCGATCAAAAGTGGCGTATCATACGTAGATGTGATAATCCGCATCCAGTAATCAATCCACAACATATCATTTCTACCATTCACTCGAGACCGCTGGCGACCGCTCAGCCTTGACTCATTGACACGATACAGGGTCATCAGCAGCGAATTTTCTTTCGCGATGATAGGAGAGCGCATTCCTTGAGGAGTGGACTTGCAGCAGCGGTGCAACACTGTTAGCCTCGTTATACATCTTGCACTCGCTTGATTGGATTGTCTGCCTATCTGACCTGCATTTTGGTGCTCTGGGGCTAACGCTATGCGAACTATGGTAGGCGGATCCAGAGGTAAGTATTGGGTGAGGAAATGGATATAAGTCGTGGGAACCATTTTCTGGTGAATAAATTGATTTGATTATTTTTCGTTTCTTTGGATTTTATTATATGTTTGCATTGGATTAACTGCGTGGATTATAAATCAGGTGAAACGTGGAATTGAATTGAGCATATGTTGAATTTGCATTTCAATTGAATACTCATTATCGCAAGGTTTATATATATTGAATCGCGGGATACAACCGGTCTGCTTTTGCATTACCAACTGACTACCTTACGTATAAGTGAAAACCGCTCACTCATACCATCATATCTCAGTACTCGACTGCTTTTCTACAAGTCGAAAAACAGAGGAACCTCATATTCATACTTCCGAAAATGCCGCCAGAATCAAAAAGTAATCTTACATGCATCGCTTGCACCAATACAACAAAAGATTGCCAAAATGTATTAATGCAGGTCATACTGGCTCTGGAGAATGCATTGGAGGTCTATCGGAAATTGGCACCTTTTGTGAGGAAATCTTATGCGAGAAATACGTTGGGACATGATGTGTATGTGGTGGAGGGACAGTTGAGGAGGGCGTTACAGAGACTTTATAAGGTTGATGTTGCAGAGGAGGAGGGGAGAGAAATCTTGGGTAAGTTGGCGGGGGAAGATGAGAGTGAGGGGTTGGGAAATCTGCCTCTTTTTAGGGTGGTTAATGATGAGAAGACGACGAAGGGTTGTGAATTGGAGGGAAGTCGGAAGGGAGAGAGAGGAATGAATTTTCCAATTTTGAAACTCGATGCTGGATTTTCTGATGTCAAGGTTCCGTTTATGGATTCCGCGGTGGAGGTTAGGAGCCCGGGGTTTTTTGAGGAAGTTCTCTTGGATGATGATGTCATGGCTATTGTGGAGGAGGACTGCGAGCAAAAGGAGATTGATATGGAAAGGTGCACGGAATTAACACCTATGCCGACTTATCTCACTCCTGACATTCCTTACCTGCTTAAAGCTATTCGTCTATGGTTAGAGGAATTCTTTGAATCAAAAGACGATTCTATAGGGATTCCACCATCGATGGTATGCCAGCTTTCTGAGTTCGAGACAGCCTTTGTACTGGAGAGATTACCAACAACGAGTTGTATCTGGAATCCCGATTATCAAAGACAACGGAAAGAGGTATGGACGATCACATCATTTTGGGGACCCAATCAACGATCGAAATGTATATGTATACCTGAGGAGCCCGATGAGAATATTTTGACACATTCGAATGATAGTTGGTGTCCGAAAAATATGCCTGTGGATTTGGATTGGCCATCAAGTCATTATGAATGGGATTACAGGACCCATCGATGGATTACTCGTCGGGGGCCTGGCTGCAGAAAAGGTGGGCCAGCACACCTCCTGAATGCTCTAGGCAAGACGATAGTGCATCTGATGCCGGATTTGATTCAGACTCAGATTCGGACGATCAAATTGCCGAGAGGATTGAACGAAGTAAAAGGGAAAGAGCGCAAGAAGGAGAAAAAAGCCTGGGAAGAAATCATGGGTATGACTGGTTTGAAGAACGTGAAAGAACACGTGAGGAAACTCAAAGCCAAAGTTGAGAGTTCGATTCGGCAGAATATCGATCTGGGAGAAGAGAGATTTGGCGCAGTTTTTATGGGTAATTCAGGGACTGGAAAAACGACCATGGCTAGGATTTATACTAAATATCTGTATTCGATGGGAATCATCAAGAGAGATGATATTCTCATGACAACAGGTACATATCTTTCAGATGGGGTATTGAAAGGACAAAACGATACGTTGATAAAATAGCTGATGGCGGTGTGATGTTCATCGACGATGCAATGACTTTAGACGATTATAGCAACGGAGGCAAGATTCTCGATTTTCTCTACCAGGAAATCGATCAGAAGAAAGGATCTGCCGTTTTCATTCTTGCGGGACACGAAAAAGGAATGCGCAAATTGTTAGGACATGGCACAAAGAGTGTTGCCAGCCTGCTTCCCAACGTTCTCACATTCGACGATTTTACAGAGCCTGAATTACTTGAAATTCTCAATTCGTGTATCAAGAAGAGATTTGAAGGGAAGATGGAGGTTGAGGGTGGTCATGATGGACTTTATATGCGGATTGCGGCGAGGAGAGTTAGTAGAACGAGAGGAGGCTCTCAGTTTGGTAATGCTAGAGCTGTGGAAAATCTGGTCGCGCAGATCTGGGAGAGACAGTCTGCTAGGTTGTCTAAGATTCGACAAGAGAGAGCTGCTAAGGCTGCGGAAGAAGAGGCTGCGAAGGAGAAAGAAGGCGAGGAGAAGACAGGTGAAGAGAAGGCAGGTGAAGGGAAGACGATCGAGGAGAGTACTACTGGCGAACAGACCACCGGAGAAAAGCCGCGAGATGAGCCTTTGGTAGAAAAAAATTCTGAGACAGCACATAAATCTGACACCGAAGAGAATACAGGTCAGGAAGCAAGTCAGGGAGACAAAATAGAAGCAGATACTGATCCAAACGTCGTTGTTGCAAAGGAACTCATCGATGTACGGAAAGACGACAAAATGACTAAGAGCGAGGAGACAAAGGAAGAAACCGGAAAATCGCTTCGCGAAAGATACACTAAAGCGGAGATATTGAAAATTCCAGCCAGCAATAATCTTGGGAGCGAGACAAAATCAAAAGAAGAGCCTGTTGTAGTGGTGGTTCCGGAACCAGCGGAAGTGCCAACGCCCATAGACGCAAGTTTCATAGAAGAGGTCAAATCAGAAGAGCCAAAATTAGAGGAAGATACACCCTCGTCTACAAAAGACGAGGTAGTGGTGGATGAGCAGGCATCCTCGAAAGAGACAGTCCCAACGGAAGTAGAAATCGATAAAGAATTAGAAACAAAAGACGAAGACCCCTCGAAAGTCGAAAATAGTAATGGAAACAAAGTTGAGGAGGACAACCCCTCCAAAGATGGCAAATTGGCCGATGAAGCACAAGATTCGACCGACAAAGATTCAGATTCAGGATCAGAAACTGAGGAAACTCCAGCAATCGATCCAGAGGACCTCTTGTTTACAAAAGAAGATATACTCGGTCCAGATCCTTCCGCTGCTATTCTCAACAGTGAGGCTTGGCAGGAACTTCAAAAGCTTATTGGTCTGGAGAAGGTTAAGGCTTCTTTGCTTACACTCCTTGAGCTCGTCAAGTCAAATTATCAGCGAGAGCTGGAAGAAAAACCTCTGCATCAATTTACCCTAAATCGCTTATTCTTGGGTCCAGCTGGAACTGGCAAAACAGTGGTTGCGAAGTTGTATGCTAAAATCCTTGGTGAGATCGGTGTTCTCTCGAAGGGTGAAGTGATATTTCGTAATCCTAGTGATTTGATTGGTCAATATATTGGAGATTCTGAAGCGAATACGAAAGCTGCGCTTAACGCCGCAAGGGGCAATGTGTTGGTCATTGACGAAGCATATATGATGTACAGTGGGAACTCGGACGGCACTGGAAATGAAAGCGACTCGTACAGACAAGGAGTCATCGATACGCTAGTTGCAGAAGTGCAAGGAAATCCTGGCGATGATCTATGCGTTCTCTTACTGGGATATAAGGAGCCGATGCTGGAAATGCTTAACCACTCGAATCCTGGACTCAGTCGACGATTCCCTATCGAAAGTGCATTTTGCTTCGAGAATTTTTCGGTTGATGAACTCGAGAAAATCCTCCGCTCGAAATTAGAATTCCATGTTCTTGAAGCTACAGAAGAAGCCATCAAGGTTGCTATGGATGTACTCCAGAAAGCCCGGACCAGATTAAACTTTGGTAATGGTGGGGAAGTAGAGAATTTAATTGCGACTGCGAGAACCAATTACCAATTGAGAACGTCGAAAATTCCAGTGGAAGAAAGATCTAGTATATGGATATTCCAACCGGAGGATTTCGATCCTGAATATGATAGAGGCAGATCGGCGAATGAGAACCTTCAAAGGCTTTTTGCCGATGTCATTGGGTGTGAGAATATAGTAAAACAGTTGGGACAATACCAAAATGTTTGTAAAGCCATGAAATTAAGGAATATTGATCCAAGACAGTACATCCCGACGAATTTTGTCTTCAAGGGGCCACCAGGTAAGATCTATACGTCTCGCCTTCCCACAGAATAACGGGTACTAACAACTGTGTTCTAGGAACTGGCAAGACAACTACAGCACGAAAGTTCGCAAAAGTTTATTATGACATGGGTTTCCTCTCCGACGAAACAGTCATCGAGTGCTCAGCCAGCGACCTTATCGGCAAATACGTTGGACATTCAGGGCCCAAAACCGCGAAGGTTCTAGAGAAGGCTCTAGGAAAAGTTTTATTTATCGACGAAGCATATCGTTTAGCACCCCATACCGAAAGCCACAGTTTCACATCCGAAGTCGTATCAGAACTCGTTGATCTGCTCACAAAACCCAAATTTCACGGAAACTTAATTGTGATCCTCGCTGGTTACGAGGACGAAATTAACTCCTTATTGTCAGCGAATCCTGGACTCGCATCACGATTCCCAGATGAAATGAACTTCCCAGCTTTGACGCCCCTGCATTGTTTGCAGATTTTGGAAATCAAATTGCGGCTTGCGGGGATTACTATTCCGATACTGAAGCAAACCGAACAGAGAGAATACGAACAATTATTGCGAGTGATGACGTTCTTAACAGCAACGCATAGCTGGGGTAATGCTAGAGATGTGGAGACATTAGCGAAGGCGATTTGCAGAACTGTGTTTTTGGAAATGGCGGTAGAAGGAGAGTTGGTTTGTACAGCAGAGAATGCGACGATGGCGATAGAAGTTATGTTGCATGAGAGAAGACAAAGGGCGTTTACGGCATTGCCGCCACCTAGATACGAATAGAAATGGGAATTGGAAATGGGGGAGTAGGGGAACAGGAAAATCGAATCTTGGGGGAATGAATTTCTGGATTCGATCTTTGGTAATGCTGACAAATAGATCACTGATGATTTTAATAAATATGATTTTAACTATATGTATTTTGAACAATGTATTCATGGCATGTCTTTATTGCTTTATTTGGAGATTCACGGATCCGAAAAATTCGAGTAACCCTTTGATTAGTTGATAGAACTCGAATGGCGAAATGAATTGTTAGGAGTTGGATGTGAAGGGGTTTACGTTTTACACCGTCTAGAAAAAGGAGACTTGCCCTCTCCTCAAACCTTAGGTCAAATATTCTCCATCTACATCTAAATGACTCAACATATCTAGCAACTTTTCGGTTATTCATTTTTGAGAATATTCGTGAACATTTATCCGACATGGGAGTCACAGCTCTCATAGCAACTATCCTTGAAGAAAACAAGATTGCAGTAGCATTCCTTGCTCTACTCGCGGTACCACTCCCCTAATATTTGACGGACTAAAACAGAGCTAATATGTGAAAGTATCCTATATCAAGTGCTATCTACAATATCTATTTCCACCCTCTCGCGAAATTCCCAGGTCCTAAACTTTGGACCGCTTCGCGACTCCCCTTCATATACTACCTTCTCACAGGACAGCTCGTGAAGAAAGTGAAAGAATTCCACGACATCTATGGAGAATTCTACCGTCTCGCGCCGGATGAAGTATCATTTGCCAGCGAGCAAGCTTGGAACGATATATACACTTTTCGTCGCGGACACAAGCGTGCTTTGAGAGACAAGGTTTGATATATTGGTTAGGAAATACGTAACATAAGGATATTAGACACCCATAGCTAACTATCTCAGCACCGAATAATCAAGCCGATAACCTCATTACAACGACCGACTTCAAGTTCCATGCTCGTGTCCGAGGACTGATGAGTAATTCTTTCACCGATGAAGCGCTCCGCACACAGCATCCATTAATCGAATCTCATGCTGACATGCTGATTTCAAGATCAGAGAAGCTGCCGAGAAGCCCGAGAACTCGACTAGAGGTGCTCGAATCAATATTACAGACTGGTTGAACTTTTTCACCATGGACATCATCGGAGATTTGGCATTTGGAGCACCGTTTGGCTGCCTCGAGAAAGGAGAATATCATCATTAGGTCCGTACGCTAATCAGCTATCTCAAGGGGATGTCCATCACTGCAGCTCCTCGGTTCTACCCTACGATGGAATTTCTGTTTCAGAAATTAATTCCGAAAAGAATCATGGAGAAACAGAGGCAGCATAGTGCGTATGCGGAAAAGATGATCAATCGTCGCTTAGATACAAAAGGTGATCGTCCGGATTTTATGACTCCTTTCATGAGAAACAATGTCAATTTTGAAAATATGTCCCGCGAAGAGATCGTATCCACGTTTAATTTCATCATCGTGGGTGGTTCTGAAACTTCGGCAGCAGTGATGACTGGTATCTTCAACCACTTCACCAAAAAGAAAAACAAGCGAATCCTTGACCGACTTTGTAATGACATTAGAACAAAGTTCAGGGAGGAGAAGGAAATCACTTTGGATGCGATCCAAAGCACTCCTATCCCTTATTTGGAAGCTGTAATTAACGAGGGCTTGAGAATATGCAATTCAATTCCTAGTGGACTGCCGCGTGTAGTCCCTGAAGGCGGGGACGAATATTGTGGTATATTCCTCCCGGGAGGTGTGAGTACTCAAAACCCATATATACAGTGATTCATTAAATTAACATTCCAGCAGACACGTCTAGCAGTTCGGACATATGCGACAAATTGATCTAAAAACATATTTGCAGATCCAGACGAATTTGTTCCTGAACGCTGGCTACCGAAAGACCAACAACCGAAAAAATATGCAAATGATCAGCTCTCGGCTAGCAAAACTTTTAGTGTGGGATTCCATAGCTGTCTTGGAAGACCGCTTGCATGGGCAGAGATCCGTCTCGCAGTCACTAGACTCTTGTGGACATTTAATTTTTCAGTTGATGCGGAGGACGAAGTAGATTTTGATGAGTTTCCGGTGATAATGATCATTCAAAGAGCACCTATGAACTTGAGAGCCAAGATCAGGCCTGGAATCTAGCAGCGGTTTCATAGAAAGTGATGAGTGAAAATGTAGGCAATAGGATTGGCCAACGAGGTCGCGACAGGGGTTTCAGGCCTCAGCGCGTTGATCACTGCACGTGCATGGTAGAGGCACAGCTCAGCTGTATCGTGGGAATACTCCTATCTAAGAATAATCAAACCGATAGAACTCCCAGCGAATAAACATTATATCTATGAGCATTTTCTAGACCTGTGTCAAAGAATCTTTCCAGACCGATTGTGCGTTTGTATCAATCTGTGTGACTTGAGCCAATGATGCCACGAGGCACGAGCAAGAGTAGTGGAATGACAACTATCCCGTTGAAACGAAAGGACAAACGAACGCGAGCATATTTTCCCAAGGTAAATTACCATGAATTCCTCAACATAACTTTACATTGACGATATGACAATTTTAGACAAGAACTGGTTGTTGGACTTGCAGGTTCGTACTAAATTTCCGAAACCTTATTTTCACCACCAAGGTCACGTGAGTCGCCAAGATTGACCACAATCTCAGAAAACGGCGAGTCAAATGTGACGAAAAAAAGCCAGATTGTGCTAGATGTGAGGCTTCGGGTTTCAAATGCGATGGGTACTCTGCAGACGCATTTTCACATGCTCACAGGCGCGCAATTGTTGTTCAGAAACCGCAGCCAAAGAGAAAATCTGGTGCAACTCATCGTGCTATACTACCCTCGAAAGGTCTGATACTTCTAATAAGCGATTACTAGCTATTTCTTGTTGTAAAGTCATTCAATTAGTAGCTGACGCGAGGGCAGCACCTAAAACAGCTCGTATAAACATACGAGTCCTGCGACCAAGGAGTCCCATCGTCGAAACCGAACAAGAATACCGGTACTTTTGTTTCTTCACGGAAAGTACTACACGACGGCTATGCGGATTCTTCGAATCAAAACTATGGAGTCATCTAATGTTGCAAGCTGGCGAAGAGGAACGGCCAATTCGGCATGCTATGAGCGCTATAGGGGCTCTTGATTTGATATTGCATACGAAAGAGCAAAGGTCGCAAAGGTCAACTATAGAGGACCATCATATGTTCGCTATCAAACAGTATGATAAAGCAGTGAAATTGATGAAGGAAGATATCGCTGAGAGAGGCCATTCATTAAGAACAGCCTTACTCTTTTGCTTGCTCATTGTATGCTTTGAGAATCTTTATGGGACACAACAATCCGCTACTGTACACATCATAGCTGGAATCCGTCTAATAGAAGCATACCATCATGAACATACATCTAGAAGCGACACGCCTCATCTTCAAAAGCCTGAGGAGTCCGATGCGTCGACCGATTCGGTTACTTTTGGCATAGCTTCTCCAGTGCCAAGTGACGTAGAAGATGAAATCTACCAGGCCTTCGGCTTACTAGAAATCGCTTCGTTGAGCTTCAATGTTGACGGTCGAGGCATGGCCTACCATATGTTAGCTAAGGATTCTGGATCCTCGTGTGTAAAGAACATGCCTTCGCGATTTGCATCTCTCCCGGAAGCCAAGGCCTATTGGGATCTCATCATGCGTCGTCTTTTGCATCTTTTGCCCACGTTGAATACCGCACAAGCAACAATGCGCGGCTACGAGGATGATAATGAGACAGCTATCATGAAGAAACCTTCTTCAGTTGTGATCGAAGAACAAGAGAGATATCTTGCCGAATTAATTTCTTGGCACGAGGCTTTCACACCAGTCTTGCAAAAGTGCCGTCTCTTCCCGAGCCAGAGAGATTTTGCAGGTGCCACAATCCTAAAATTGCGCTGGATTCTCTGTCGCATTGCCATTAACTCCGCATTGATCCCATCGCAAGTCGCTCTTGATCAGTACTTGGAAGATTTCCGCGAAGTCCTTAATTCAGCAAAAAGCTTAATGTCTCATCCAGCATGGACAGGCAAGTTCACATTTGATTCTGGAATCATCAGTCAGATATATGTTGTTGCACTCAAATGTCGAAACTTTCCAATTCGATCGGAAGCTATCTCATTGTTGTTGTCGAAGTCATGGCGCGAGGGGGTGTGGGATAGTGCTGTGGCTGGCAATATTGCTAGAGCAGTTGTGGGCTTGGAAGAGGAAGGTAGAGAAGCTGGCTTCATACCTGAGAGTAAGAGAGTGTATCAGACCTCTATGCGATTCGATTTACAAAAGCGGATTGGAACAGTGAATTGCTTTAGAAATATTAGTAACCCGTCCGAAAGAGAGCACCCGATTACGAAGAGCATCAGGTGGTAAAGCCATGATAATTGGCGATCCTCTCTACAAATCACATGTTTGCTTGAGGCTTACATTGAAAGGAGGATGGAAAGGGCACCTACAAATAACATGGTGGATACTCAATCTGAAGTTGAGTTGGACCTTGGGACTTTAACGATGCGCCAATAAAACCGAGAACATATCAAAAATAAAGCATGTGATCGGCGTGAGGGCGTTGATGATGGAAAGCCGCCCGAGCCGGCTTCAAAGATTAGCCGGCCCCATACGTATAACCAAATATGGTGACAAACATTTAAGCACCCCCACGTCTCGTATGGCGCAGCGGTAGAGTTCATCATTCCCGAGTAATGTTGTCCGCCTCTCTACTTGCATTGGCAGGGCTTCGTCAGTGACAACTTATATAAGACCTGTCTGAACGCAAGTTCAGTCAGGGTAAAAACGATTTGGTTCATTGGGATTCTAGGCGTCCGGGCCTAGAGTTTTGCCATTTTGGAATCCATTTTTGTGGGGCCTAGTAATGGTTGGTCAGCAGTAGCAAGTGAATATATTATTGTTGTTTCAAGGAACCTTGGCTGAAAAGTTTCATTGGAGTACGGGTTTATTGACGGTCAAGTGTTGAAAGTTCACTTCAATTTTTGGATCTTCATTTTTTGTGGATACTATATTTTGTATTAATAGTCGGCTCTTCAAGCGGCCGACTATTACCTTCTCACTCAAAAATGATATTGTCTATTTATCTGCTGTCTAGGATCTAGTGCCTGGGCTAATAATCAATAATTGGGGAAGTCTGTATTCCAAGGTTGTATATGTTATTTTCATGTGGATATGTTGAAGTTTGGCAATAGGTACTAGGTAGGTGCCCAGATGCCGTGCACGTTGAAGAAAGAACAACCTTAGTGATATATTACCTATGTTTCCATGATTCGTTTTCATATATTCATTGTGTTCATTGCAATCTAAAATAAAACCTGATAGTGTGGCAAGTGAATCAATGAGGTGAATTCAGGAAAATCACGTGTAGGGACTATGTTCTCAGTACCTTTCTGCTCGAGTTCACAACAAACTGAAGAAACTCTGTTCACACAGGAAACCACAACCACAATTACAACCTCAAAGAGAAAGTTAAAAAAAAATACCCTTCCAAGTAAGACAAAGTAAGTCCTAATGTTTACTAGATTCTATAGTCAAAAGCAAATACAAGAAACATACCAAGTTTCTATAAACCATCATGGACCCTCCCAACACAACAAGTCAACCCTCGGTCGAGAATCAATCGAATCAATCCTCCTCCGAGTCACTATTCCTGAATAACTTATTCAAGCAACCTCACCCGTTTTTTATCTCTCAGTAAGTTTGATGTATCATCTCATTTGACATAACAATATTGATCATTGACAGGTTATACACTACTGGAAAATACACAGACCTTATCATTAAGTGCCAAGGAAAAGAGTTCAAAGTCCATCGAGCAATTATTTGTTCTCAATCAAAGCCTCTTGCTGCGGCTATAGATCACGGATTTAAGGTAATCAAACTGCAAGGTGATGATGAGTGGCTTGTTCTTGCTGATACCGAGGTTTAGGAAGCTACTGATGGTGTCTTCGATTTTGACGAAGAGGAACCAGAGATTGTGGAGTACATGATCAGATTTCTTTATGATGGTCTCTACTCTGTATCCAAACAACAGAAGCATCCTGATACTGCGACGTGGGGAGGAAACGCAACTTCTGTCATGCCAGATGGAACATCTCTCACTGGAGATTCATCGGACCCGCCATTTTACTTTACTAAGCAATCCTTCCGCGCTCCAGCAAACAGTGATACAAGTGGACCTGAGAAAGTCTTTGGATCAACTCTCCCGGCTGGGCAAAAGTTGTTTCCAAGCTTAAACGGCGCCTCCATTTTCGGACCTCCACAAGCACCAAGAGATAGTGGACGCAACTTGTTCAGCTATGTACCCCAAACTCGTGAAAACTCGTCGTTATTCAGCCTTTACCGCGACGTTACTCCTCGTACTGCACCTGCACCCGCAACTGGAAACACTTTTCGCTCTGTTTCTCCAACTACTACTCAAGCAACTACCTCTCGGTCGACATCAAACGTATTTGAGCCCATTGTTTTTACCAATGCCCCTACAACTGGAAACTCGTTTGCTCCTGTTGCTCCTGTTGCTCCTGTTGCTCCTGTCGATGCCCCTACAACTGCGACCGCATCCTCAACACGGAACTTGTTCGGCACAGAGAATACTTCGCGCAATAATATCGAGGCAGCAAAGACTCCAATCCAATTATCAAAAGGCAAATTTAATTGGTCAGGTCGTGGTAGTCTTTTTGGCAAGAGCGCAACTTATGGTCTGTCATCCGAAAATATCGAGCTTCAAGCGGAGGATTTGATCAAGCATGCAAAGGTCTATATCATGGCAGAAAAATACGATATCCAGTCATTAAAGAGACTTGCTCGTCAAGGATACTCCTCTGTCGCAGATAATTACTGGAACTCTTGTTGCTTCGTTCAAAGTATTGAACTTATTTTCGATGGCACACCTGATATTTCCGAAGGTGATGATCTTCGAAAGGCTGCTCTGGAAGTTGCTAGTAGATATATGAAACAACTTCTAGTGAGGGAAGATTTCGCTCAAATGTGCCAGGAGAGAGGTGATATCAGTTTCGCAATTCTTCAGTGGTCTTCGTGGTCGATGTAATGATTCTAAGGGAGGCAATATGGAATGATTGCTCGATGCTGTAGGCTAGTGGAGTTTTGAGTGGGAGAATGTTCCAGCAGTTATTAAGGATACGAATTTGTCTTCTGTTTTCTAATGATAGGATGATACATGCAAATGAATACGATTTTGTTTCCCAGAGAAAGACAATTGCTTCCTTTGAAAGCTATACGATTCAGGGAATTTAGAACAGTCTACGGGTTTCCAATGTACAATAAGGGGTGATTATCTAGGTAGACTCACGAGAAGACTTCAAAAGTTGAATACAGCAAAATCTCTTCAATGCCAACTCGTTCATCTCAAATGCTGATCAAATAATCCTATGCAGACGAGACAACGAGACTGTACGATGTGAATTCTAGAATTAGACCATTGTCAACTTTGAAATATAGGCTGAAGGTCTTTCATGATTTTGTGCACTCACTATGGGTACCTATCGAATGTTGAGTCCAACACAAAGTCAACATTTGCTTCAAGCTTCCAGCCAGCTTTGATGGAACATATAAAGAACAAGCTCTGAATAAATCGAATTAATTTATTGCTGTGAATATAAACGTGACTTCGTACCAACTCCATCAAATACCGGTGCGATGTTTCTTCTGTACAAGCAGTCATGAATCAACACCAAAAAGCAAATGCTGAAGCCCGGCATGGGTAAGTCAAGCCGTCTGATTTTGCCTACCTCAACTAACCTGTAAGAATTTACCAATCGAAGGACTACCATGATATCGAATTGAAGTGCAAGGACGGCGTTATCTTCGCACATAGTGCAATACTGCTACCTCGCTCCGCGGTCCTCGCAAATAGGGAAGATGAGAGATGGAGCGTCACTGAACCAAATCTACGACACTTTGATATGTCAGATCAGCATTCACTCATCGTCAACGCAGCGCTTTCGTACATCTATACTTCCGAATACAATGATGTCCCTTCTGGCATCTATTCAAATTTGAATGTGCTTCCTCGCATACTTCCCCTGCCTCATCAACCCCAGCATTCCTTTCCACCTGCTCAAAACCTTGACGACTCACGATTGGTTTTCAACACGGAAATGTACATCTTCGCCCGCAAATACAAGATCGAAACGCTGGAATGCCTAGCCGTCGAGAAATTCAATGGTGTCGCGCATCTCGCTTCACCTCCCTTACTTACCCCCAACACAGAAGTACTAGAGAGAAGACCTGCTTTTGTCGCAGCCGGATCTCTCCTCTGCGACAACATGCCGGATCTTGTCGACAGGGAGAGCGATGAGTTATGGAGGAGTATTAAAGTGATATCGTTCATGAATTACATGATTTTGAAGGACGCGAGATGGACGGATCGGCAAGAGACGAGAATTTTTTGGGAAAGGGAAGATTTTGTGACCGAGCTGTTAGAAACGGGATGGCATCTGCATCGCGACGTTTCAATGCGTCTGAGAAACATGGGGTAATTTGCCAGAAGTGATGGTTGGAGAAATTAATCTTCATTGATAGAGAGCCAAAGTCACTTTTTTATACAGGTCATTATGACCTTGTCAATCAAATTGAGATTTATGAATTGCAGCAAAAATGTAGAGAGTTCGCTTAATCTCATCGTTTAATCATTGTAGTCTTTACGACTTTCGTATCAAGTTCATCAATGAAACAAGCGCTTGCTGTAAATTCCTGCTCAATTGACCGATTTATTGAAGTGTAATGCCGATTAGTTAAGAACGTGCCATTTGCCTTTGATATTCAGATGGATACCCGTCCCTCATTCGGATTTCGGAGAAAACAAATCAAAGGGAAACGATAGAAACTTTCTGTGTTCTTATAATATGACAATAATTTACAAGCGCTATCTTGTTTCATGAAGTCAATGCATGATATTTCACCACCTCGCGCCGTTTATTTCTTTCCCTTTGTCTTCTTCTTACTAGTTTGCCTCCTCTCACCATCAGGTCTTCCCAATACACCTCTCGTTCTTTGGTATTGCAAGACGATATTCTGCACACTACCCATATCATGCTTGGGCTTCCTCATGTATGTCAACCTGGCTCTTCTGGCTCTCTTAGCCTTTCTCTGTACCACCTCGATACCTTCCACGTTGGGGCTGTATATCTTATACCACATCTCGACACCCACTCTCGTCAACTCATTTCTCAATAAGATGCCCGTCTCCACACCACGTCGTCGAATGTTGATGCATACTCCGGCAAATGGATCGCCAGTTTTGAGTCGTACTAGAAGAATATCGCCAACTCTGGCCGCTTCTGGGTTTGTTTTAGAAAATAGATTGGTACGGGCACCAGTGGGATCGAGGACGGCAATTTGCTCTGCGTGAATGTTTTTTATTGGTTCCTTGAAGATCTGAGCTGGCGATGAGGGTGGAGGATAGGTTTTGATTTTTCGGACAGCTGTTTAGGGTATCAGTATAAAGAGGAGCTCAATTGTAAGATTGGTGGAGTGCCGACCTTGAGTCTGAAGAGGAGTCTGCGACGCCGGTTTCGAGTGATGATATGTAGTCAAAGACCTGGCAATGGTCTTCTGTTGTCTCGATTGCCTCAAAAGAAATTTCCAACAGCTCAGTGGCCGCAATGTGGGTGTCATGGTTGCCATGGTTGCTGTGGTCTAGATTTTGTGTTGAAGTGAGGTTGAATGCGACCAATCTGAAAAATTCTGCCGCTCTTGGGGTCACCGCCTAAATATTTAAATCAGAACTCCAAACCCTCTTGATGATAACGATCGACCTCACCCCTCCAATTTGTAACCGTACACTCTTACAAGGCTACCTGAATTTACTCCCCAGGTCATTATGAGTGGTAAAGGTCTTTCCAAGGTCGTTCGTGGCAGCGAATGCTTGTTCAAACATGCGCCACTGAAATTGACCAGACAACAACGATCTTTCACAAGTTCTCCAGTATGCCAAAAAGTTGGTATGTGATTGAAATGCTCAAATTGTATCCCATGTGTTGACTTCAGAGTAGGCCAAGTTCCATCTTTCTCTCCAACCTCCTCCGCAGAGCTTGACGCCTTACTTTTGAAATACCGAAAGAATCTTTTCCTACCCGCACATCTTTCAGAATACGACCAGGAGCTAGTATACGGCAGGAAACATGCAGAATCACTCAAGACTGATCCCGTCAAGGTCCAGATTGGTGGAGAAGAATTCATCCTGGAGCACATAAACCAGTTGAGAGATCTACCGGGCACCACGAAAGGATTTAGACAAGTTCTTAATCTCATGATGGAAAAGAAGGATTGGGACAATCTACCACAATTTCTCGAGGGATATCGCGATTGTAGACGACCTTTAGCCCATGCCTTATATTGTCAGACGATTCGACGGGCTGGTTTGGTAGGACGAATGGATGCTGTTATTGAGGCGGCAAGAAGAGTTCGCTACACAGGGTTTCGCTTGAACGACGAAGAAGTTGTTTTGCAAATGATGTACTGGATCTACTACAAGGCACAGGTCAGTGGCTTTGAAGAGCACGAAACGAAACAGGCGCTTGCATGGGCAGAAGCCGTGGCAGATTTGCTTGAGGATCCAAGACATGCTGGAGATAAGGGTCCATTACTTGCAGAGGGCGCGAATGACGTACGGGCTCTTCCGGAGGTTATTGGTATATTATTACAGTTGGCTGCAGTTCGCGCCGTAAAACATACGGATGGGAAAGATTTGGATGGAAAGGTCGCAACTTATGCTACAAGGCTACTTGGAACGGCATACGACTTGAGCACTTCTTTACTCAATCTTAAGAGGCCAGAGGTACGGGTGTATTCGAAATCCGGCGCCGTCGAATCAGATATAGCCAGTCAAACTAAAATGGATGGTGGAGATTATTCTGCAGAGGAAATACAGAAAAAGACTATCCGGGCTAAGAACCATTGGCTTGTAGCTGCAGTACCAGTGCTACATGGGATGAAGACAGCATTACATGTTTTCGACCCATCAACGGTAGCTTCATCGAAGTTGAAGGAGAACATACCTCGATTAGAGAAACGTGTTAATAGGTACGCATCCGACTTGAAGGGAATCGCTGCGGGAAACCTGGGTTATAGAACATATACCAATTTATTTGGCTCAGCATGAGTCACATGTTTCTTTTAATGATCGGATGAAAACTTTTGTATTTGTATATACTTGTACAATAATTTAAGGAAGCACAATATACTTCTCTAAATGCTTTGGAATTGCTCCTAGAAGTTTCTTTTCCGACAACCACTTCTTGGAGAATAATCGATCTGCATATCTGTATGCGCCATCGCATAGTATTGTCACAACAGTGTGGCCCTTTCCGAGTTTTTCGGCTAGTTCCTTTGCAGCAGCGACATTCAAACAAGAGCTCGCTCCGAGGTACAACCCTTCCTCATCTAAACAACGGTAGACCATCTCGATACTCTTCTCATCACTAATGTGCATTGAGCCGTCTAATAAATCAATGTCTGGTTTTAAGTTGTCTGTAACTCTGCCTTGACCGATTCCCTCTGTGATACTGGAGCCAGTTCTATCCACCAGCTTTCCACCTGACTGAATGTATGAATGCAAAACGCTTCCCGGAGGATCCGCAAGGTAACACTTGACCCTTCCGTCGGACTTTGTCTTCAAGTATCGAGTGATTCCGGCCAAAGTACCTGCGGTTCCCGTGGCACAGGTGAAGGCATCCACCTTGCCATTGGTCTGATTCCATATCTCTGGCCCAGTAGTCTCAATGTGGGCTCGTCTATTCGCGATATTATCGAATTGATTTGTCCAAACCGCGTTCTCTAATTTATCCGCATGGCGCTTTGCTTGATGATTGTAATTTTGTGGATTGTCGAAAGCTACTGCTGGTACTGGATACACTTCGGCACCCAATAATCTTAAAAGATCAATCTTTCCTTGAGATTGTGTATTGGGCATGTAGATGACGAGCTTGTAACCTTTAGACCTGCAAACGTGTGCGAGACCAATTCCTGTATTTCCAGCGGTTCCTTCGACAACAGTTCCTCCTGGCTTCAGCAATCCCCTCTCTTCGGCGTCTTTCACAACATATAGAGCTGCTCGGTCCTTGATTGATCCTCCAGGGTTCATAAACTCAGCCTTTCCCAATACTTCACAACCAGTTGAATCAGAGATGTGATTTAGTCGAATGAGTGGAGTGTTTCCGATTGCTATGATCCTTTAGTCAATAATTCATAGTGCGCCGTGAACTACCAAGATTCAACGAACCTCCAGTTAAACCCTTTACCACGCCCTGAGCTTTAGAAACTCCAATTCCATATTGATTTGGAGCTTCCATCTGAGCAACATTTTCCGCAGCTCTTACAGCTGTGGTCGCAAAGCGACGAACACCAGATCGAAACATCTTTAAGATGAATTGGTAAAACAATTGAACCAAGCTTTGCACTTAGCTTTTGCACTTAGCTTTTGCACTTGACTTTGATACTTCCCGAGATTCTTTATCCGATTTTAAATGCCTCGCACTGGCCCGATGTCGCCATCGACACTTTGTCCCGCAGGCGGGTCTTATCCTTATCGCTGACAACGGTTCATGACTAAGCAGGGGTAGGAAAGTAACAATCAATGTCAACAAACAGCAAACATCAAGTGTGAAATGAAAAAGTTATTGATCATCTAACGCGTCCATGCAGCTTGCGACTATACTGTTCCGACTCTCACTATAGTCTCCCCTACAAATAACACAGTTGCGTATTCTACGTGCGACGAATATACGACCACCAAACGAAACAATCTACGTTAAAAACGCAATTTTTCGTTTCAGACCCAAACCCAAGGAAACAAGATGCCAGGGAAAGTCTCCAGCAGGAGCTCGAGGACATCTGCCTCTGGATCCCGCAAATCATCTACGGTGGAACCGAGTAGTCGCAGATCTGCTACATCCAAATCATCAACACCATACGTTGAGATTCCAGAAGAGACACCTGACAATGAGTTGCGCACGCAAATTTCATCCATATTCCGAGATTCCCAAAGAAACACCGCATCGCATAGAAAATTAGTCGTTAACTTGCGAAAATTACAGGAGGCCTGCTGTTATGAGCCAACTAGCAAGAACAATAAAACTGGCGCAGAAGACTTTGAGGAGGAGGAATTTACATACGAGTTCACAAGATGTGTTCTCAGAGTGATGCCGATCAAGAAGAGTGAGAGTGTTGGAGAAAAGGCGATTCGTTTTATTGGGCTGTTCTTGAGACATGCTAATGAGAAGGATAATGAAGTGACCCCAGCAAATGAAGAGGAGGATGGAGTCTTGGTTGAGACGCCGAGTACGAGACTAACAAGTCACCTCATGACGACTATTTTACCTCTTTTGACGGCCAAAGAGAAATTTGTGCGGTTCAGATCCACGCAGCTGATTTCGCATATCATTAACTCTCTCGATTCGATTGATGACGATCTCTTTCAGCAACTCCGACATGGGCTTCTGCGCAGAATTCACGATAAAGAAGCGATGGTGAGAGTGCAAGCTGTGCTGGGTCTTGGCAGATTGGCTGGAAACGAAGCAGAGGGGGAGGCAGATGAAAGTGATGATGAATCTTCTGGGGGTTTGCTTGTCAAACTATTAGCAGTTTTGCAAAATGATCCTAGTGCCGACGTTCGAAGGTCTCTTTTGATCAATCTACCAATTTTGCCCAATACGCTTCCATACTTGCTAGAAAGGGCTAGAGACCAGGACCCTGCAACTCGTCGGGCACTTTATTCTCGACTTTTACCAGCACTCGGAGATTTCCGACATTTGTCACTCTCGATGCGTGAAAAGCTATTACGATGGGGTCTTCGCGACCGAGATGAAAACGTTCGCAAAGCGGCAGGGAGACTTTTCCGAGAACGTTGGATTGAAGATTGCTTGGCTTCAGCCGCAGCAGAGTCTGCGGAAGGTGAGGCAACCGAAGAGAATAGAACGCCGAATATGGACGCGCTATTAGAACTTCTTGAAAGAATTGATGTTGTTAATTCTGGGGTTGAAAATGGGGTTGCGCTAGAGGCGATGAAGGGTTTTTGGGAGGGCCGACCCGACTTTCGAGATGCCGTTGAATTCGATGATCGCTTCTGGGACACCTTATCGGCGGAAGCTGTATTCATGGCAAGAAGTTTCAACGATTTCTGTCGGAACGATGGAAATAGCAAGTATGAGGCTTTGATTGAAGAGAAAATGCCCGAAGTTACGAAGCTGGCATTTTACCTCCACAGGTACACTGCTGTTTTGGTAGAGGCTCTCAAGAGGATCGCAACGCAGGAGGAGATCACCGAGGATGTAGCGGAAGAGGAAGATACCGTAGAGCAAGAATTTATTGTCGAACAACTACTCCACATTGCTCGAACTCTGGACTACTCAGATGAAGTTGGACGACGGAAAATGTTCACGCTTCTGAGACAGCACTTGGCGATTCCGGAGCTGCCTGAGGAAGTTACTAAACTAACCGTTGAAGTCCTTAGAGGAATTTGTGCCGCAACTCCTGCTGGTGAAAGGGAATTCTGTAGTGTAGTCTTGGAAGCCGTTGCAGATGTTCATGATACGGTTACTGATGAACAAGATTTCGAGGATGCGGAAGAGAGCTTCCATTCTGCAAGATCTGACGTCAGTGATGATGAGAAGCCCACCAGAGGCAAG